AACACCTGCATACTTAATCACTTCAGTCATAAGCACAAGGTTTTTTTGCCTTGCAGACTCATTTTCAAAGCTACATGCATATAGCTGTCTGGAAAGGCATGTAAGACACATTTTGGTCAAGCTCCTAGTTAATCTGGTCCTCGAAGTGGTATGACATTTGACATCACTGGGTGAGCCCTCTTTAGCTGTATCTGTGAAAATCCAAACTCAAGAGAACTATATGAACGTATCTACAAATACTGAAATGAATCTGTATATGAAATCTTGGCTCAGGGGTTTTGTTGCTGACTTGGAGTGGACAGGGTTTCATTCAATAACTTCAGCTATTAGTATTTGTCATATATAATGCATGCATCTCAGTAGTACCTAGTTTAAACCTCCCCATAATCTCAAACGAGAGAAACTGAGATTTTCCAGTGTACACAGGTAATTAAAGAAGAGTTCAAAATATATCTAATTTACTTAGGCTAAAACCTGACAATAGGATTGTACCAAAGCACATATTTTTGCTACGTTCTTTCTTAAGTGCATGACAAACCACTGTATAGGTCATCGTTTGCTTCCTTGTTGAATGATAAATTATGACTCAAATTAAACATGATTACTCCCTGTGAAACTGAACTACAGCTTCTTAAAGGCAGTAATGGTATTTCCTCTTTGTTTTGTTTTTTTCTCCATTTCCTTTTGATGAAAGCTACTGTCTGGCTTGCCAGGTTTTAGCATTTCAGCTGGACTGATAGCATCAAAGATACTTCTTGCCTTGATTCTTTTCTTTGTTGCTACCTCACATGACTGTTCTATGTAATGAATACTCCCATGTCTAGTTCACAGCATCTCTGGCTTTATTCTACTTCTCTAAATTAATATGTGTTTCTATTTAATGGCCTGTGCACCTAGGTAGTTAAAATACCTTCAAAACTGTTACCTTTCTCCTTCCTACTTACTACATTTATACTGCTACAAACATTAGCAAATGTTGATCTCAATCTATCACTTTTTTCGCGACTCTTCATATTGAAAAGCACCAGATCTTCAAGCACACTTGCTGAAGTCACCTAGTGACATTCTCCAGACTGAATTCCTAACAGACTCATGAGCTACTGCAGAATCATTACTGACCACTAACAGAATCTTCATTGTATCCCTGGACTCTAGAAAAGAAAAGTTGTAGTTGAAACCCAAATCTCTTTTGTTTACGTATAGATGTGTGTGCTGGTTTCAGTAAGAAGCAGAAATACAAATAAGTTGTTATAAAGGTGAGTTCTAACTCAGATGTTCTTAATGCTGGACTAACTTTAGTTCTTAGTGTGGAAACTAATAAATAGTCTTGCATGAGAGGTATAAAAGAAAGACTAAGCATGAAACTTCAATACAACCACTACTGAAATTCATAGGCTTTCAGCTGAGAACAGCACCACCTTCCTTCATGGAATGATTTAAGCAACTAGGTGCAGAATTCCCTGTCCTATTTTCTCTCCCTAAGTTTTTTCCCACATTACAACACTGCGAAGTAAGTTTTGAATAAACTGGATTTTATCCATTCTTCACCTGCCTTATTGCATCTTACCTGTAAGAACAGAACTCTATTGGCATTTAGCATCTTTTGCATATTTGAGCAGGTAAAGGTAAGATTTGCTTCTGAACACAGACAAATCAACCTGTAAAATCTACATATGTTAGCCAGTCAGCATTTAATAGATTTTCTGAGGTTTCATCTACATGAAATTGACCAAGCCTGTCCTAAGTGGCAGCTTATATTCAAATGAAATTCTATAGCTGACAATAAATAAGTCAGAAAAGCAGGATTTTACTGTTCCCAAGGTATAACACTGCCACAGAGAGAATAACACATAATGCTTTTACCAGAGTAAGTAGAACCAAGATAACATTCTCTTCCAATCCTGGAACTATTTAAGACAGCATGCCTCTGACGGTGACTGGATAATGAAAAGTTCTACATCCTTTTTCTGCTTGTTTTGGGGGAACCTAATCCTTTTTCTGAAGTGAACAAGCACATTTTTTGTCCGAAGTCCTACAAACACAATGGGTTGTTTTTTTTCTTAGCTTCCTTCACAGTCCTCACCCTTTCCAATTCTTCTGTCAGCCTGCAGTATTATTTTAACCATCTTCAAAGAGGTCATAATGGCAAAAGGAGTCAGGGGCAAAATGTGGGGGAGGGAGGAGAAGCAATGAAATAAGTGAGTGTAATAACTGTTCTCCAATGAGGGAAAAGGTAGAAGAAAAAACACTCAAGTTCATCAGTAATGCAGGCCCTGCCATCCCCAGATGTTACAGAAGCATTAGAATTGCTCCCTGCAAGAAAAATTGGATTAGTCACAATCTTGTCGACTAATGGGCACACTCTGTGATCTTTAGAGCTTCATTTACTGGGTTAATAGTGCTTTGCCTGAGTTCCTTTGCAACAGGGAAAAAAAAAAAAAAAACTATAAGAAGAAATATTCTGGGTGCAGTCCACAGCCACTGACACGAGTAATATCATATTCATCACAGACAGACCTCGTATCTCATTACTACTGAAGAGTTTGCCCCCAAGGCATTTGAGCTCAGTCAGGCCAGGCCCCTCATGTGGAACCGTTCAGGTATATTGTGAAATGATTTAATGCGATAATAATGTCCACTTTGTGAGATAGATTATGTTTTTTATAGTGGCTGATGGTTAATGAATGATACATTAGCAAACATCACTAAAACATTATTGAGAAAATGCAGATAAGAGATAGTAACTCCCTTCTTCCCAGCCCCCACTCTCTCCCAGATGCATAAAAATGGAAAGTAGAACTTAAAGGAAACAGAAAACTTGACATTTTTGTGAGGCTACCAGCTTGCCTACTCTCTCTCTTGCTTGCTTGTTCTCTAGAGAAGGGGGAAAAGAGATATTTTAAAATGTTGTAAACACAAACTGAAATATCTCTTCTTAAATCAAATGAGAATCAATGTAAGTGCAAACCTGAAAAATACATTATATGTTGACCCAGTTTATTAGATGAAGCCGTTTACCCTGATTTGATTTATCTGGCAATACACTGCTCAGCTGTGAAATGAGATAAGAAGAGCCTATTCACCTTATTTACAATATTATAGTGACTCCCGCTAGCACCACTATGGTTAAGGATCTGTCAGCAATTCCATTACAAACACCATTTTTTTAGGGTTTATAACATGGCTATAGATTCATGCTTAGCTTGAACATGGCAATCCAAACCCAATAGATTCAATTAAAATCTCCTATTGAGTCCAATGGATTTTGGATTAATGCAGCACAATCTTAAAAATGTGAAAATCTCTAGGTATTTTTCTACATTTTTAGTCATTATTGCTGTGCCTTGGGAAGAAATACAAAGAGAGCCATATTCCCTGATAGTGCAGCTGTTCTGAAGTCAGTACAGTTATAGTAATTTACAGCACCTGAAAAGCTGCCTCTTCTGTCAGTTATACACTTGGCAAAGATGGATCACAACAAGGAGTTGTTTTTCTGTTTTACTTTGATGTGCTGTTTTATTTGGCTTACACACGCTTCTAAAACCTCTTTGTTTCGTTAACAAGGGAGGGGTAAGTCCCACACACTTTCAATGGGAGTTAAACTTCTTCTGATCCCCCAGTCTAGAATTCATATTGTTGTTTTTTCCCATAAAGCTGAAAAGCCTTCTAAACTGCAGTTTTCTCTACAAAAATATCCTTTCTAGTCCAAGCCTTTTGTCTATTTTGGTTTGTTTTGAAACTGAAGCCTTCAAATAAAATTTCTGTCCTCATTTCCTTCACTTTAATTTGTGAATTTCTTAGCAGCTCAAAAATCTGAGAAGGGAATGAAGTAGAGCAGGCTAGTTAGGTAGAGTCTGCTGAGGTCAAACAGTACACGATGAACACAGTTATACAGACACAAAGTGGATTTTATCCATTTCACAGATAGTAGATAAACACTTATCACCAGTATCGCCCAGCAATGCCTAATTAAACAAAGCAGAGGCCTCTTCTGTTCTGGATTTCATTTTTATTTGCGCCTGTGACTGAAGAGACTGGATCACACACACCAGTTAACACACTTTCTCCTTACTTTGTAACACAAAGCAAGCTGTATTTTAAAATAGGTGTAGTACTTTAAAAATGTTCTTTCCAATTCATGAGTATTGCAGAGAAATGCGGGAGGAAAAAGAAAAAAGAAATTTGAATAGAGGAAGAATGTAACAAAGGGATGGCAAGACCTTGAATATCAGCATTGCCTATTTAGCAATGAATCTCCTCGAATCTCCTACTTCACTGCATACAGAAACAGAAAAACCACTGGTGCCTGAGGCTGCCCAGCCCCAGCTGCCCCCATCATGGGAGACCAGTGGGAGGAGATGGCAGCACTGTCAGGCTGTCTTCCCTCCAAGGCCAACCATGTCAGAGTACTGTCCACTCATCCTTCGCAGGCCAACCATCTCAGAGCATTGTCCATTCATGGCCTCATAGACACGTTAGCAAGTTTGAAAGCAAATGAATAACAACAGGCACAGGTGGATGTGCTTGCATAGGAACTGCAAGATGGAAGGTCAGGAAGAGAAGCAGCTCCCTCCATCAGAGGCTGCTGCTTGCCCAGGCCTTTCTGGCTCCTGCAGCACTTAGTGAGGAGGAAAACATGGTGGCAACTGGAAGGACGAGCCCTGTTCCACCACCTGAGCCAGCCCAGAGAGTAGCTGCTGCCACAAGTCTTGTCAACACCCACTGCTGCCAGAGTGGAAAGGCAGAGGAGAAAGCAACAGGAGCAAGAGTAGCAGCCCCTGAAGGGTAAGGGAACTGGCTAAGATGGCAGTATCTGGAGGGCTGGGGCTTAAACCCCACCCTGCTTTAATTGCTTCTTAGCGAAAAGGAAAAAAATATGATGGCAGGAGGGTTGTGGAGTGGTGCTCCACAACCTTACCTGCTGTTGGTACTAGTGCCACCAGGACTCAGCCTCCATAACAGCCCCCCAGAAATGTGGGGGCAGTGCATGGTGAGCATCAGGGGCTAACTGCGGCCTTCAGGGTAGTGCCACAGGCTCTGAGGGTACCTTCAGGAAAATAAACCTGTAAGGAGAAATATTCTGGGTGCAGTCACATCTCCCTGAACACATCCCTGTTCCTTGCAGGTGCCTGAGGGTGCCCATGGGGCTGTGAGGAATGTGACAGCCCTCTTGAGGAGTTGTATCTATCTTGAGATAGCTGTGAGGGGACAGCCCCAGCACCAGGGGTCAGTGGGAAACACAGCTGTGTTTTCTCCCCTGCAAGGGGTATCTGGACTTAGACTCCCAAGACAAGATAGTTTCAGGGCATAGGACAGCTTCTTTTTGGGAAGTGGACTCTGGCAAGCAGAAGTTAAGAAGCTTCCAGGTCATGGCCCTGTGCTGAAGCACACCTAGATGTTCTAGGTGGGACCTACCACAGTGAGAACTGCAGCAGCAATCAGCCCTAGTGCTGGCCATGATCTGCAATCAGCCATCAAGTTCCAGTTTTCTTGTGTTGGTAAGAGTTGTACTTTGTTTGCTTGCCTAATCAAAGGTTTAGTAGGTTTTCTTGGTTGTCTGAAGTTGTCTGAAACTTGGTATGAGGATTATCTGTGTCACTTAAAAGAATCCCTTCCACTATGTAGGCACCAGCACATGTGAGCTATGTGCAATATTGAAAAAAAATTGCAGAATATCATGCTTGCATGCTTAGGCACAAAATAGTATTTTCTACTTGCACTTAGCATCTTGTGAATCATTGCTGCAGTCGTGATGTCTTATTTGTGATGGGTTCGTTGCCTCAGCCTTGTAGTAAATGTTCAGAATTAACATGTATAGTGCTTTCATATATTCTTTTCTTATACTGCCTACTATGTTCAGAATCCTAGGGAAACATCATACTTGTATTTGAAATTCTCCCTTGGTCCTACCAGCACACAGAAGCAAAGTTATTATAGTCTGTCTCTGCGAAATGCAGAGTGGACCTGCAAAGCACATAAAAATTTAAGGGCAATGTGATTCATCTGTGTTACCTTAGTTTGATGGATAGAGACTAACTGGTTGATGAGTTAAGAAAAACAAAATTACTTGAACTTACTTGTATTTTATCAGAGGGCTGGAATTCACATAAGCCAGGGTTTTTAAAATTGTAAGTTTTTATATATAGATAATATGCTATATTAAAACTCATAAATGTGCAGGCTTTTCCACTATGGTGGGCAGCTCAAACTACCCTCTTCAAAGGAAGACTTGAGGAATATTCAGAATATCTGGAAATTAGACAGAACATACCTTGAATTAGTCTAATGAAATTATAGATAGTCAGAAAACATGGTAAATGCTTGGTTTATCCTCTCAGTATATGGCACTACCAGAAACAAGAATATTTTTTTCTTTTTACTACAGACATCATGGGAAGAGCCTTTAAATGAGACTAGTATCTCTGTTAGTGACAGAACATAGCAGGCAAATAGTAGAGGCAGGAAACTCATGAATTGAGATGGTCTTTTAACAGTCAAGTTAAAAAATCAAAGGAACTGTTCCTCGTCAAATATGGGCAACAATTGTTGGCAGCGTGTGCACTGAGACTGTGTATCATTAATCACTAGAATCGAGCATTTCCTAATTTTTAGGTAGTGTTGCTGATTTGTCTTAGTTAATGATGTAGGAAACTAGTTTTTTAAGTCTCACAACACATTGAATTTAAATGCTTGCATACCTACACATTGAATTTAAATGCTTGCATAAGCATCCCAGAGCATTTCTGGTACTTACATTTTAGTGGCTGTTTTTCTGACATTCTGTGAAGCATGACTATTCTTTTCCTTCATTTCCCCAAAGATATTGATGTGTATGTGCAGAGAAGTGGAATTCCAACTGAGGTCTCCAATGGAAAAATAACATATTAAAAAACAATCTGAGCACTTAAGAACTTTATCAACTCAAGAAACTGGAATTACTGTGGAAATCTCAGTGCTGAGAATTCCTACTCATGGACTAATATCATACTGTATTAGAGACCAAACACACATAAAACAGTAACACCTTTGCTTCCATTTGTTAAATTAGTATGAAGCAAGAAGTAATACAGAGAAAAATTAGGGAACACAAGAAAATATCGGATGGTCATCTGAGGAATATTTCTGTTCATTGCTGGTATGGAAGGGAGAGTGGCATTCTGATATCTATAAATTCAGGTTCTGTCAACAGTAGCAAAATATATCTGCTCACTTCATAATCTGGAGGATACTTCAGGCTGAATTTGCAATTAGACATACATGATGTTTGCATTGTATAGAGGCTGTGTGAAGGGAATTAGTTTGCCTTTTTCCCAAAATGTTGCTATTACATAATTAATCCTTAGAAATCCTCTGCCTGTTTAGAATAAACACAAGGAGAAATGAGAGAATGTCCCATTCTCAGGTTTTTATGTAATGATATGGGCATGCCAGTGAAGCATTATCCCTTTTGTAAAGTTATAAATGTTGACAGGTATTTGTTTGTTTGTTTGTCCGTATCAATTGTCTCCAGGTGTTTGGTGTTTTTCTGTGCTTTTCAAAAAGGCAGGAAGGGGAGGATGTTCCTAAATAATATGTTGCCCTGACTTCATAAGGCTTGTTTTGTCTGGCAAATGAATTATGTAAACCTTTTCCACCCGAAACTGTTTCAAGTCAATTAATTGTTGTAATTACTTAAGATTTCTTTTTAATGAATATGACTCTCCAGGGATTTGATGATATCCTGTCATCTGTAGGCCTGATAAATGAAATGTGATTTGTGGCTTGCTGCAAACTGAACCCTTGTACTTGAACAATGTCTCACTTTCCTATGTGCTCGCTAAACGGAAGAAATGCCCTTGATGGAATTAGAAACATTTGCTTTAGTTGGTCCCTAGTAAGAATGGCTAGTATAGGCAGGTAAAGTTTGGCTTTTACTCCTTTTGTTCCCTCTTCCTTTAAATGCAGGCCTTGTTAACACATTGACAATTACTAAGACCAAACACATTATCTCAGTGAGGCTACCTATTGTAATTGAGAACTAGCTGAGTTCTTCCATCTCTCATCTCCATTTGGTGCACTGAAATGTGAAAGATTAGCAGTTAGAGAGGAAGGAAACCAACGCTGTATGATGGTTTTCTTATATTACCTTTTGTGTTACTTTCTTTGCTGCACCAGCATTTTGTAATAAGAACAGCCAAATCTGGCAAGCAAGGCACCCTCTCATTGTTTTTGTGCAATACCTAGTTTCCAGTGCACAATATCTGGATTCCAGTGCTTCTCAAGAAAAACAGAGCTGCCCAGTGCTGCAGATGACAAACAATCTGAGACAGCATAACAAAGAACCATGAAGTCTGAATTAAGTTCCTGCAGTGTGACTGCTTATATGTGTTTCCACTAGTCTATTTTCCCCTACACTACCATGCAAATAATATGGCCAAATCTCCAATGTTAGGAAAGTATAAAGCAGGTGGGGTTTCCTGATTTAAATTCCATTGGTAAAACGGGGATTACTGCTTTATTGCAAGACCTTTCCTGAACATCACACGGGTACATTAAACATCATAAAATACATAGCTAAATGTAGTGGCTTGGTTATAGTTTGGAATGTAAAGACAATGAATTATTGTGTATCTCAAACAAAGATCACTTTGACCTTTTTTCCAGTCAAGAGAGGGTGCCTTATATATGCATAGCTGTCTACATCTGGCAGTCATGGGTAGTGTAAGTGTACAGAAGAGACAGCATCCCTGATAATGGAGGTGAATTAACAAACAGAAGAAACTGTTATGTCTATTAGTGGTCTAGGAAAAACAAAAGGCTGTGAAGGGTGCAAAGGTGAAAACTGTGAAGAAAGAGTGACAAAGAAACACCAGACCAATGTCTGGGAGGAAGAATCATGGAAAATGAGAAAACATTGAATTTTCACAGAAAGGGATTTTGCACTTTGGGGTTCAAAATCCAGGAATGATTGTAGTGACAAAACTATATCAAAACCTAAGTCTTTCTAAACTAAAACTCATTTCTTTATGCTGGCATAAAAGATGTCTTTCTCTTCCCCCAGCCTACCCTTTTTCTTTCTGGGCTAGCACGACCTATAGCAAAGGGTACAGATGTACAATAAACTTCAAGGAACTATTTTTCCTGGCTTGATGGGTCCAGCTGAAAAAGTGGTATCTAGAAGTTTATGACACTGATTGTCTTTGGTGCAGTAATTGGATGGAAGACATTCAGATCACCTTTGATTAGATGAACTTCTGAAACTACTGAGATTTATCAGTGCACAGATCTTACTCTCAGAGGACTCAAGAAAGTGTGTCCCATTAACTTAATGAATCAGGCCGCAAGAGAACAACTGCTCTTGAAGTCAGAATGAGAGATTTCCCATCAGTGGCACAAATTCTGCCAATAAAGGCAAAAGGATTTCTCAAGTGAAATGAGATTAGAATATGTCTCCCCTGATTTTCAGTAGTTAAATGATTGACTATCCTGTAATAGGCTAATTATTAGATTTCCCTTCAATTTTTTGTGATGCAGAAAGGAAGAAAAGTTTTCTTTCTCTACCTAGATTGCGTGATAGTTGTGGCACTGTTTCATCGATGCCATTGCATAGTCTTGACCTTTGAAAGATGGTATGGTGCATTCATCTTTCTCAATCTCATCTGCCTTTAGCAAGGTGTCCTCAGCTCTGGAACTTCTGGCAATTTGACAAAGGCATCTCCCTACATGTCAGTTCTTGTTATCCACTCCGTCTTCTTCACATATGACACACATGTCAGCTCTCATTTTTTTCACTTCTTTCTTTGTTTGCCCCTTCACAGGTGGGAGATTCCTCATCCTCTTTTTTGAGCCATTTCCAGGGTGGTCCTTATTTTTCCTGCAATGCCTTTGTGGACTTCCTTGACAACTTAAAGATCCTTTTTGTCACTGGTGTTTTGTGGTTCTTCACAAAGAAAAATAGCTTTTTAGAGGCCTCATTAACTATCCTCAGTAAGCTATTTCCTTGCCTTCTTTATAAATGATACTCTTCCAGCTACCGTAGATAAGTTGTTGCTAGATGTTTTTGACATAATGCATCTGGAAGTTCCTCACCTCAGAATGCTTGTTTAGCAAGAGTAACAAATACTTTAGTAGCCTCTTTATCTATTTTAAAAACATATCAAGTAATGTTTGTTTCATCATTGTAAAATCATGTTGCGAGATGTCAAAACTAGCACCTACCTCCCACATGCTTTAGCTTAGGCTGTTTGACTGCAGTGTTCTAACTAAGCAGTGCTATTACTGATGGGGCATTGACAAGAAGGCATTGATCACTGCCTCTCCTCTTATCTAGAAGTGAAACAGCAGGAAGCAGAGATTATAGAAACATGTTCTTGTCAGTCTGTCCTTCAAAAAGGCAGGGAGCCTCTGACTGCGCCCCTGGTAGCTCTTCAGTGGTCTTGAAAGTTGGATGCAGGGAAAACAACCAAAAGAATTAACCTACAAGAAATAACTGTTGTCAGGCAAGTGGTCCTAAAGGCTG